GTCCTGCTGGAGCTGCCGGAGAAGTAGCAGCTGGGGGTGTTGGCGCTGGAGGTGCTGCTGGCGCTGGTGCTTCTGAGGGTGTGCTTGAGCTGTCGCTCTTGGAGCTAGAGGTGCTGTTGGCACTGGTGCTGCCGCTCCTGGTACTGGTGCTGTCCCTACTGGTTCTGGAGGCGCTGAGCGGCCGCGGCCGTACTTCGTTCCGCTCCTTGAGCAGGTTCTTGGTCTCCCACCCTCTATTGGTCCTACTCCTCCCTTAGAGTATCCACAGCCTGTCCAGTCGCGGTCACACTTACAGCCAGCCTCCCCCTTACCTGCTCCTTCTCCCTAAAGTGGTCCTACTGGAAGTCTTGCTGAGCGTCGTGAGCCTGCGTCTCGTCTTGTGTCGCCTGTTCGTGCTGCTCGCACTAGTCATCGTGCTGCGCGTCCGCGTCCTCCTGCGGTCCTAGGCACACACCAGATGGCACTTCGTCACTCCAGTGCTTCTCTGCGTGTCGCATTGCCGTCTCCTCCAGAGTCCTTTATTCCTGTTCTTGTTGACCCGGAGTCTGACTCCCTTCGTGCTGCCAATCCTACTGTCACGCGTCTCCTGGCTACTGTTGTCACTGACCCTTCCTTTGAGTCCACTGCTACGTCTCCCTTAGTTGCAGAGCTTGTCGACTTTGCTGCGCGCCGTCGTCTAGACTACGCCGCTTGTCTTGTTGCTGAGTCTGAGTCTGTGTGTCCTTCGTCCGTCGGGGGTGAGTGTGCTCTTAGCACGGACGTCCTTAACGACAGGCGGGAGGAATTCCAGTGTTTTGCTGCTGCTTTGCCTCATCTTGTGTCCACGCTGATTGCCCGTGAGGGAGACCCGGATGCACCAGACATCCCGACTCCTCGATCGTACGCTGAGGCGATCGAGGGTCCCTACTCCTCTCAGTGGCAATCAGCCATGGACGCAGAGATGGCTTCCTGGAAGTCCACAGGCACCTACGTCGACGAGGTTCCCCCACCTAGGGCGAACATCGTCAGTGGTATGTGGATTTTCAGGGTTAAGCACCCACCGGGTTCTTCGCCTGTCTTCAAGGTGCGTTACGTGGCTCAAGGCTTCAGTCAGCGGTAGGGAGTTGACTACTTTCAGACCTTCTCTCCCACCCCAAAGATGACCACTCTTCGGGTGCTGCTTCACATAGCCGCTCAGCGCGACTACGAGCTTCACTCTCTCGACTTCAGCACTGCTTTCGTACAGGGCAGCCTGCACGAGGAGATCTGGTTGCGCCACCCTCCTGGCTTCATTGGGTCGTTTCCTCCTGGTACCCAGTGGAGCCTCCGGCGGCCAGTCTACGGTCTCCGCCAGGCGCCCTGTGAGTGGCACGATACACTGAGGACTACACTTGCGTCTTTTAGGTTTGCTCCTTCTACTACTGACCCGTCGCTGTTTCTACATACTGACACCTCTTTGCCGCCGTTCTACATCCTCGTGTACATCGACGACTTGGTCTTTGCTAGTGTTGACACTACTGGACTCGCCCACGTGAAGTCCGAGCCGGAGAAGAGACACACGTGCACAGACCTGGGTGAACTGCGCAGCTACCTTGGCTTGCAGATCACCCGGGACAGAGCACAGCGCACCATTACCTTGACTCAGTCACACATGGTGCAGCAGGTCCTTCAGCGCTTCGACTTCACGTACTCCTCGCCTCATGCCACTCCTCTGTCTACTCGCCACTCGCTCTCAGGTCTGCCTTCGGATGAGTCCGTAGAGCAGAGTGGCCCGTACCCAGAGCTTGTTGGCTGCCTCATGTACCTGATGACCTGCACACGACCTGACCTTGCATACCCTCTTAGCATCTTGGCACGCTATGTTGCTCCTGGGAGACACCGACCAGAGCACACGGTGGCAGCGAAGAGGGTGTTGCGCTACTTGTGCAGTACGTCGGACATAGGGCTAGTGCTTCGAGGGCGACGTCGAGTGGTCCTCACAGGTCAGGTAGACGCTTCTAGGGCTGACGACCAGGCTACGCAGCGGCCGTCAGAGGGTTACACCTTCAGCCTTGGCTGTGGCTCCGTTTCGTGGAGGTCTACCTGCTCGTCTTTTGTTCTTGGCTCCAGTTGTGATGCTGAGATCTATGTTGGGGCCATGGCTGCACAGGAGCTACGCTGGCTCACCTACCTGCTGACTGACCTAGGAGTGCCGCCTCGTTCTCCTCCAGTTCTGTACGTAGACAACAAGGCCATGCTAGCCTTGTGTCGGGAGCACAGACTGGAGCACAGAACGAAGCACATTGCTCTTAGCTACTTTCTTGCTCGTGAGCTGCAGCAGCGTGGTCAGCTGTGCCTTGCTTACGTGGCCTCTAAGGCCAACACTCTTAATTTCTTTACCAAGGCACTTCCGCCTTGTGATCATCAGCGCTTCTGTACGATGCTAGGTCTTGTGCCTACTTGGCCTCAATTGCTCACTTCTTGACCTTGCTTGTACTGTGATCTTTTTATACCTGCAATTGCTTGCTTACGTTTATATATGATCTTGCATGTGAACTGGCCTTGTGGCCTTGAACTTGTGCTCGGAATGTGTGGTGACGTTGTGATCCACCCTGAACTTTGCTTTGCTTTGTTTGACTGGTCTTGTGACCACTTGTTCTCCCCCACTTTGCCTATGGGGGTGTGTCAAACTCATATGCTATAGTCTGTGTAGGCTGTAGTGGGGTAGACAATATGGGGTACAACACTTTTAGGTTTTCCTACTTGTACCCACGTGCTTGCTAGTTCATTCATTTCTCATTTCTTCACAGACCCCCCCCCCCCCATTTTTTCTCTATTGTTATCAGTATACCCTTGGGTGTTATGTCCCGGAGAATATGGTAACTTTTAGAGGGTAAGTGATTGTTACTTTGGACGGCGACTTCTTCTCTATCCTGTTGCGCTCTCTTAATCGTGATCGACGATGACGTTGTCGAGAGTAAAAGGAATTAAGTTGAAAGGTGGGGCCTAGGCTTAGGAGCCTAGGCCCGAACTTAGGTGTCGAGTAGGTTTCCCTAGGCGAGGTATCGAGTGAGTTGGAAGAGAGAAATTGGAGAATGAGTTTCACTATAGGTTTCAAGAAACATATAGCATAGGAAACAAAGTTGGTGCACCACCTACAAAGTACAATAACTACACTACAACTACAAGCAGTTATAAAATATGACAAACATATTTCGACACGCCCCCATAATGCTTGTAGGTAGAAATGTAGTTACGCCCCCTGAGGGGGTACACCATGCAAAATAATCACAAGCAACAGCAGGTAATGCAGGCGGGCTAACATTAAAGAGTTACCCCCTCCATCTCCTCACCCTCCTCCTTCCCCTCCCCCACACTGCTGCAGGAGCAGCAGAGAAGGGGGGGAAGAGAGGAGAGGTGGAGGGACGGCTGCATGTTGCCTCACACCCGCCACCCCGGTACCACTCCCCCTGCTCCCCCACATCCTCACACCTTCTCCCCCAAGCGGCAGCTGCAGCGATGGGACTGAAAGAAGGAGGAGGGGAAGGGAGAGAGGTGACGCCACACTCCAACACCCTCCACCCCCATACCCTCCTCCCCGCGGCTGCAGGGAGACAAAGGAGGAGGGGGGTGGGAAGGAAGAAAGCCGCAGAGCGGCGAAAAGGTGTCGGTGCAGTGGTGTCAGGGGCGGCTTCAGGGAGTGCAGGGGCGGAAAGGCCCGTCGCGGGCCAGTGCCACGGGGCGCACGACGGGTAGAATAGAAGGGCCCGATCGTGTGCCTCGGGGCGCACGACGAGCAGGGCACCATCGTGTGCCACGGGGCGCACGATGGGCAGACGAAGGGCACCGTCGCGTGCCACGGGGCGTGCGACGGGCAGGGAAGGAGTCACTCGCCCGTGGGCGGGACAATGTAAAAATAAAATCGTCACGCGCCCTAGGCGCGCGACCGGAAAACCTTAGCAGCGGAAGTGTAAAGTGGGCCCACAGGCCAGGACGAACCTAGCTCCGATAACATGTCGAGAGTAAAAGGAATTAAGTTGAAAGGTGGGGCCTAGGCTTAGGAGCCTAGGCCCGAACTTAGGTGTCGAGTAGGTTTCCCTAGGCGAGGTATCGAGTGAGTTGGAAGAGAGAAATTGGAGAATGAGTTTCACTATAGGTTTCAAGAAACATATAGCATAGGAAACAAAGTTGGTGCACCACCTACAAAGTACAATAACTACACTACAACTACAAGCAGTTATAAAATATGACAAACATATTTCGACAGACGTCTTATATATTTCGATTTCAGGGTAAAAAAAAAAAAAAAAAAAAAAAGGGTTACCATTCGACCCCCAAACCATTGTTGATTTTGTTCATATTTGCTCGTTAGTCATGTGACATTGATCAGCGTAGAAAACCGTGCGACTGGAAGTTGAAGCAAGTGCAGTCCAAATCTACGAAAATGCCGAAATCCAGAAAATAGTAGCAAAACAACCACTCTTCATGCAATTTTCTTGAACAGGACTATAAGTATCGCGTTTTGCCTGGGGTTGTGTAAGGAATTCTCTCGATATTCCTTAGCATGCCTTGCAACATCGCGTATAGCAGCAGCCGTTGTTCGCCCGTTATTGCTAACGGGGCTTCGCCGACTTCGCGCGCACTGTTTCACTAAACCTCGCACTGCTGGCCTGGCCATGTCGGCCTACGCTTCGGGACTAGCCCGAGCCTTGCCTCCAGCATAGCACTAGCTAGCTAGCGCGCACCGCGTTACCGTTTGCATGTTTAGCATTTTGACACCTTAGTGCAATTCTCGCTACTTCGATTCATTGCACCCGTAACAGGTTTGAAGGTTTTCGCACATAGTCCGCGCGCGGCGATGCTGATCCGTCGGACTATAAACGAGAACATCTGTAGGGGCAAAATTGGAGTAGTTAGCCCAGTAGTGCCCTTAGCAAATGAGACATAGGCGCTAGGCTCAGAACCGGATCTTCACCTCTCGACAGCACGAATGTGTTCCCTACCTTCCGCTCCCCCCGTCAATCCATCTTAGCCCAATCCCGATGCCCTCAAGGTCCCTGTTTGCTAAGGCAAACTTCGCTGGTCCTCGGTGCGCGGGGCGCTACAACATGATCCCTTCCGCCTCTCACTCACCGAAACGTCGCGCACGTGTCCCCTCGTCGCACTCGTTTCCCCTCGTCGCACTCGTTTCCCCTCTTCGCACGCGTTTTCCCTCGTCGCACTCGTTTCCCCTCGTCGCACTCGTTTCCCTCGTCGCACTCGTTTTCCCTCGTCGCACTCGTTTCCCCTCGTCGCACTCGATTCCCCTCGTCGCGAGCGTTTCTCATCCTCGCGCTCGCTATCCGTCGTCGCCCACGCTCCCCCTTGTCGCGCTCGCTGCCCCACGACAGCTGTATGGAGTGTAATAAGGAAGGAGACAGAGTGGACAGGAAGGGATGAGAAATGGAGGGCGGAAATATATGGGAGGAAGAAGGCTGGAAGAGATGCAGGAGGGCGGGTCGAAATGGGAGCGGGATAGCGGGAAGGAAGGAGATAGGCCGGGGAGAACTGCGGGCGACGGAGGGAACTGCGGGCGACGGAGGGAATAGCGGGCAACTGGGGAGGGGGAACGACCGCGAAGGGGATGGGGGGCGAGGGTGATGGAAGATAGGTGGTGAGGGAAGGGGAGAGGGAGGTGGAAATGGAAGGGCGCGTTTATGGGAAGAGTGAGAGAAAGGCTGGGAGAGAAGGAAAGAGAGAGGTGGGGAGGGATGTGAGGGGGGGGAGGCAGGAGAATCACAGGGGGTAGGCAAATTAGTGGTTGGAGAAAGGAGTGTGGGGTGAAACAGGTTGGTGGGGAGGATGAGTGTGTTTGGGGATATGCGGTCGGTATGTGGGGGCAATGAGGGGAGGCGACGACGAGCAGGGAAAGCCAATGCGACGAGGGGGAGCGAGGGAGCCATATGCCCTGCTTCCCCCCCTCATATGCCCTGCTTCCCCTCATCCCCTTCCTTGCTACCCCCCATCCCCTTCCCTGCTACCCCCCATCCCCTTCCCTGCTACCCCCCATCCCCTTCGCACCCTCACATTCCACCCATCTGTCCTCCCCATTCCTGCCCTTCCATCCCTGCCCCGCCCTCCCCATGCCCTCCCTTCCATCCCTGCCCTTCCTTTCCTCATGCCTCCTCCTGGCTTCCCTTCGCTTCCATGCATGTGCCCAATACATCACTGTCTCCCAATACATCACTGTCTCCCAATACATCACTGTCTCCCAATACATCACTGTCTCCCAATACATCACTGTCTCCCAATACATCACTGTCTCCCAATACATCACTGTCTCCCAATACATCACTGCCTCCCAATACATCACTGTCTCCCAATACATCACTGCCTCCCAATACATCACTGTCTCCCAATACATCACTGTCTCCCAATACATCACTGTCTCCCAATACATCACTGTCTCCCAATACATCACTGCCTCCCAATACATCACTGTCTCCCAATACATCACTGCCTCCCAATACATCACTGTCTCCCAATACATCACTGTCTCCCAATACATCACTGTCTCCCAATACATCACTGTCTCCCAATACATCACTGTCTCCCAATACATCACTGTCTCCCAATACATCACTGTCTCCCAATACATCACTGTCTCCCAATGCATGCCTTCACCATGTGCACTTGCTTGTATTCCCTTGTCGTTGTTCCCTTCCACCTCACTACATTTCCCCCATGTTCCTTCACACAGGTACCCCTTTCTGCCTACTCCTTGTCCCTGCTTCCCCCCATCCCCTACCCTGCTTCCCCCCATCCCGTTCCCTGCTTCCCCCCATCCCCTTCCCTGCTTCCCCCAATCCCCTTCCCTGCTTCCCCCCATCCCCTTCCCTGCTTCCCCCCATTCCCTTCTCTGCTTCCCCCCATCCCCTTCCCTGCTTCCCTCCATTCCCTACCCTGTTTCCCCATGTCCCCTTCCCTGCTTCCCCCCATCCCCTTCTCTGCTTCCCCCCATCCCGTTCCCTGCTTCCCCCAGTCCCCTTCCCTTGCTTCCCCCCATCCCGTTCCCTGCTTCCCCCAATCCCCCTCCCCTGCTTCCCCCAATCCCCTTCTCTGCTTTCCCCCCATCCCCTTCCCTGCTTCCCCCCATTCCCTACCATGTTTCCCCGTATCCCCTTCCCTGCTTCCCCCCATCCGCTTCTCTGCTTCCCCCCATCCCGTTCCCTGCTTCCCCCAATCCCCTTCCCTTGCTTCCCCCCATCCTGTTCCCTGCTTCCCCCCATCCCCTTCTCTGCTTCCCCCCATCCCCTTCTCTGCTTCCCCCCATCCGCGCGCAGGTGTGACAGAAGGTGCACGTGGCGCGGAGCATGTTGGAGGAGCGGTTTGATCACTGATAATGCCATTCGCTGGCAATTCAACTTCCTGCCAAGCCTAGGGGAGTGCCAACTTACGCCCCGTCGTAAGAGACGGTGCATCTGAAGGGTTTTGGTCAAGACGGTGCATCCCCTGCAATGCTTCCCCCCATCCCCTTCCCTACTCCCCCACATTCCTTCCCTCACTCACTCATTCCTTCCCACCCTCACTCATTTTTCTCCACCCTCTCTCATTTCTCCCCACCCTCTCTCATTTCTCCCCACCCTCTCTCATTCGTTCCCATCCTTTCTCATGCAACTCACCCCCCACCTTCCTCATAACATATTACCTGCCTTCTCTCCCAGACTCCACCCACCTGCCCTCCCCATCCCTGCCTTTCCCTCCCTGCCCTGTCCTTCCCCTTCCCCATCCCTTCCTTTTCATGCCCTCCCCTTCCCCCTCACTCCTCACCAGCTGCCCTGTTGTTCCCGAGCGTGTGCACCCATCTATTTCCCCATACATGCTTTCATCATTCCCCATGTCCCCTTTCCGTTACTACCCCATGTCCCCTTCCCTGCTTCCCCCCATCCCCTTCCCTGCTTCCACAACTCCCCTTCCCCGCCTCCCCCTGTCCCCTTCCCTGCTTCCCCGTGTCCCTTTCCTTGCTTCCCCCCATCCCCTTCCCTTCTGGTGCCCCATCCCTTTACATGCTTCCCCCCATCCTCTTCCCTTCCCCCCATCCCTTTCCCTGCTTCCCCATGTCCCCTTCCTTGCTTCCCCCCATCCCCTTCCCAACTTCCCCGTGTTCCCTTCCCTGCTTCCCCATGTCCCGTTCCCTGCTTCCCCCCATCCCCTTCCCTGCTTCCCCATGTCCCTTTCCCTGCTTCCCCCCATCCCCTCCCCTGCTTCCCCGTGCTCCCTTCCACGGCACTCACACGCACCACTTGTCTGCTCTTCATATTCTCCCTCAGTTTCCTCCTCACATGTGTTGCGGAACCCTGGTCTGCACTTTGCCTGACTGCATGTCTGCCTGCGTTTGATCTGTGTCCGTGTCTTTCTGCCTCCGTGCGTGCCTGCGTGTGTGCATGCCTGCGTGCGCTCATGCGTGACAGCCGACACTGTGCAGGCAATTGTGCTGAATCTGGATCATGGGGCAAAGGCATTTGAATCGAGTAGAGCTGTGTGGTGTGGTCAGTGCGGAGTGGCATGGGAGGAAGGTGCAAGAAGGCAAGCACAGAGTGAAGAGGCCGCAGCATGATATGGAGATTGGCAGCAGGGATCGACTAGTGGGTCATGCTTTGTTTGGTGCCAGTGGTTTATAGGCTGAATTGGGTTCACCTGTTGATACTGTGTACAAGGGGTGTACTGTGTATGCCCTATCTCAATCTTGACCCGAGCTCCAACACGTAAAAAGACATGAAGTTAGCTTGTGCCTAGCTGTGATATTCCCTACCAAACATGCACAACACAGCCAATGTCAAGGATACTAGTATCCAAAAACGGTTTCTCGGTACAAGGGTGTGTCATACATGGTGAAAACACATCTCGCCAAAGAATGTTTAGGTTGGTACCGGTACGTAGCACTTCGAATCCGTGAAGCACACTTGCCGTTATAGAACCGGCCACATCATAGTCAGCTGCTTTGAATGAACTGCAAGTTCACCAAGCATGACACGCCCTTAGAAAAACGACTTGCCATGCCAATAAACTACGGTAAAGCCGAATTCCCCAAGATACATTGTGAGATTTATGTGGAGCTTCACTCAAGACGGTTCCGCCAAATATGTCCAGGTAAGCCCAGCAGAGAGGAGTGGCAAAGAGTGGTGGCGTCGGGCACATGAAAGGAGGGATAGAGGGAAAATTTCGAGGGGCTCTCCTTGCTGGAGCTTTGCAATGGCTGATTTGCGGAGGGGGGAGGGGGGGGATGGGGGGGTCGTGGGGGAAGTGGGGTGGGGGGCAGAGGAGAAGAAGATGGTAAAGGGAGCTGAGAACAAGGAGGAGGAGCAGCAGGTTGACAAGCTACCTCTCATTGCATACTCTGTGGAATGGCTGTCAAAATGTGGGGAGTGGGGAGTGGTGGAGAAGGGGGGAAAAAAAGGGATAGAGGGGAGGTGGGAAAGAGTCAAGGTGATTGTCTTTGAGATGATTTCTAATGGGAATCATGGGAAGGATGGGAGAGTTGTCGGTGAGAAGAAGTGGAGAAAAATGGGGAGATGGCATAGGATATCCTGCACTAGTGCATTAGACAAATGCACCATCGGTCAACTGCATTACACCAGAGTCACGTGCACTGTACCAGGTGTCATTTGCCACAAGGCGGCAGACGTCCCAAGGGGCCGAGGCAAACCACCAGGGAAAGCCGCCCTGCCACCTCCATATCCCTCGGCAAGTACGGCACCAGCAGCACTCCCTGCACTGGCGGGACCAATTTTAGGCGCTGACATCGGATGTATCGCAGGGATGGGGGATGGGGAGACAGTGCTTCTGAAGGTTTTTGGTAAAGAGGAGGGAGTTGAGGGAGACAGGGAAGTGTGGAGGGGAGATGGGGGAATAAATCTGAAGGCCCACTAGTATTGGTGTTTGAGGATAACTAATAACACGAGTAGGGTTCATTATTAACCTAGGGCGAGCTCATGAGTGCCGTATATATCGGAAGCGATGCGGCGTGGCGGCCAACGTGATAATGTTGGACCATTTTGAACCCCATAGGTATGTTGTAGATGTTTTCCGAGGATAGTTGGTGACGTCACCTGTAACATTAGCACAAACAGAAATTGTCGGTCCAATTGACTTGTAACATTAGTTGATGTGTGATATGTGGCAAATGTGCAACTAGTCTCACCTAGAAGTCTGCGCGCAGCCTTATGCGTCGATGACCGATCGCGACCCCTCCCACTACGTCGCACAGGTGTAGTGGGCTGCTGTACAGATGGGTGGCCCCCTCCATCAGATATGTCAGCGGACTACTGTTCCGATCATTGGCCCCTTGATGCATCTTCAATAATACCGTCATCGACACCTTCCCCTAACGACCGTTGCCACTCAGCCATGATCCGATCAACCCACGAACAATCCATGGGTCCGAGTGTTCGATCCTTGTTGCCCCGACGCACCCGCGTCGCTTGCCGCACTCGTGTGTGGTAGGAAGTGACCAATCTATCCATCGAGTTATTCCACTGAAAGACCGCGAGAGCCACCGGCGGCGCAAGACTATCCTGGAACCGAATACGTTTAGGGGCGTATTTGAGGATCAGAGAATGGAATGACTCATTGACAGAGCTGTTGGCACCGTGAACAAAAGACTTCACCTTTTCCGGGGATAACCGTTTCTCGAACCAAGCAAGTGCCGCCTTGTGTGTTTCTGACCCAGGCTCGTTAAGAGCACATTCCATCCCCCAATTCTCAGTAACACACCTAGGCGGGACACCACCAAACATTCCTCACCCGGAATGGTCACCCGCCCAATGGTTTGGTGCCGTCCCAATCTGCCTCGACACATCATCAGGGGTCATAGGGGTGCCCGCACCCTTCATCCTCCCGGTGTGCATCATCACATGGAAAAAATGTGAGCTGAAACGTTGCACCACAGTACTCTCTTCATCGCCTGCGTGCACCTCATCTCCACCCTGTTCTCGTTTCCGGCGCCCAACCCACCAAGGCAAAGTCTGTCCGATTCCGCTTCCTGCAGCATCACCATCATGCACTGCACCCTCGTTGTCGCTTGCAGGGGTAGTCTCTGTTGGGTCCGAACAACCCATGCCATCATCTTCTGGTGAACGACAATATTGGAAGGACACATGACTGAGTAACCAAACAACATGAGCAATTAAATCTTCTCTTATATGAGCGTTCTTACCAGTGAATTCGTCTGCGTTGGCCCACGGAGTCGTCCCACCAATTGACCGTGAGACATCGCCTGCACCTGCATGTGCATGCTCGATGGATGCACTTGCCACAGACGAGGGTTGCGCGCCATGCACTTGATGCAAATCGTAACTCCAAAGCTCCACATCTGGCCACTGCACGTCAACTTGAGCATTGCCCAATTTCTCCTCGTCAACCACTTCATCGATCGCAGTGGTTCGCCTATCTCCCGTTGGGCCAGATCGCACCTCAGCATAAGCGACTGGGACATCTACAACCCCCTATTCCCCCCCCACTCGTCGCACCTTTCTCAGCTCTGGAAACTTCCACTTTGCTTCATCGGGTGTCATGTGCACGTATGCAATAGTGCCCATAGCTGTGCAGACGGATTTCACAAGAGCCGATTTGAGTGACGCCTTTACCTCCTTCTCCAAACCCCGTTTTCGCAACCATTGCCGCAGCCCTTCCACCATAGCCAACCACAGCTCCTCAATACAACTTGCCTTGTCCAGGACTACCGGCACCCGCACAGCATCCTAAAGCTCTTTGCAGAAAAGCTTGTACAGCGTTTTCTTCACGTGCCACCAATCCACCTGATGGTTCAGTTTCCGCTCTGTCGCAGCACCTCTGAATGTCGTTCCTTGGTCTGAAATGATTCCTCCCCCTTCAAATCCCAACATCGCCAGCTCATCAACTCCTTTGTCGAACGCAACCCGCTCCAATCACACAGATGACGTATCATCAACCCCCTTCCTTGTTGTCGCACAGTACAATAACTTCCGCGTAACAGCTTCCATGAATGATACGGTACACCATTCGCCCTCTCGGACATGTGACCACCGACCGTCTACCGTTACCCATTCCCCAGAAATGTCTCGTTTCTTCATCTCTTCTCGTAGCGCTGCCATGGATTTCTCCGCCTCTCTAAGAATCGTGTTCCACAACCCATTATCACCCCCTAGATACTTATAAAAAGTGCCTTTTCCGGGACATGGGATACCAAAATTGCGGCTAAACTCCCACATCTGTTGATAATCCATCCCAGCAAGCACAAATGCTCCTACGAATTTGGAATGGAGCATAGGCACGCGTGCCCCGACACCCGCTCTTCTTTTCTCAACGGTTCGATTGGTGCATGACCAGAATTCCACACCATGGGAGCACGCATCACATCTCCAAAACATGCCCACTGAAGCCCAAGAATATTTCCATGACCTCAAAGACATGGCTCCACCGCATGTCTGTTGATGCGAGCACACCAACCGACATCCCTTGAAGAATCCAACGAGAGTACGCGGTTCGACGAGACATACCCGTTGTTCAGAAATCTCATTGACATTTGGTGAGGTAGGCCAGTGCCTAGGGACTGTTGCACACGCGATCGGGCGCGGTTGCATGCGACGTGACGAGAGGTAGTGCACATATCAAAGAAAAACAAAAGCATTAGAGGTTGGATTTCAAATCCTGTGTTAGGTTGTTTTGCATGGAATGTTTCATGCGTCAACTACATCATCAAACATGGTAGATGCTTACAGGTCCTCAGGCGTGCGTGTTGTCGCCGTTGGCGTCGGTGCTAGCAGCGGTGTGTTGTCGGTGGTAGACTGTATGCACTCCCGATCGAGAGCTCGACAGTCGGTGCAGTCCTGCGCCATTAGATTAGGTGAATCTATAATTGTCAGAATCCCAACCACTAGACCATTGGGATAAAAGGGCTTGTTTCAGTAGCGGGTCAGTGCACCCATAACCCCCCAGGCAAACGCGCCTGTAACCCCCCCTAGGATCGATCGGGGATCTCACAGTGTAGCTCTACTGACACCCCCCCACACTGGGAGGCCCAGGACTGAGCACAGTGGCAACGGCCAACATGTGCATACACCGGGATTCGAACCCGAGACCGCTCTGATACCATGTCAGAATCCCAACCACTAGACCATTGGGATAAAAGGGCTTGTTTCAGTAGCGGGTCAGTGCACCCATAACCCCCCAGGCAAACGCGCCTGTAACCCCCCCTAGGATCGATCGGGGATCTCACAGTGTAGCTCTACTGACAATAATAGCATCCACCACATCACGGTCTGCTAACTCGGAGCCGGCCCCTAGCTCAAGACTACCTGTATTATATCGAGAGCGATGGGATAAGCTACAACTTGTTGAGTGGAATAGGAAGGACCGAAGGAGCACAGTACGTGGATATCTTTCTAATGGTGGATCTTTCAAATGCAAGCAGCTTATTACCTTCCTGGCGTAGGAGGGAAAATGCCTTTCCACGCCTCGCTCCACCCCAAGATAGGCCCGTCACAGGTTTAGGTCTCCCGCGATGATCGAGCTTCATAATCAGAAAGGAAAACTTGACGCTAGGTAGCACTCGATCCGGTCGTCCTAGTAGATCTGTGA